GGGAGTGTAGTGAGAGGAGAAGGGGTAACCCTTTTAAGCTGAAAGAGGGCAGATTTAGCCTAGACATTAGGAAGAAGTTTTTCACTGTGAGGGTGCTGACACACTGGCACAGGTTGCCCAGAGAAGCTGTGGATGCCCCATCCCTGGAGATGTTCAAGGCCAGGCTGGATGAGGCTTTGAGCAACCTGGTCTAGTGGGAGGTGTCCCTGCCCATGGCAGAGGGGTTGAAACTTGATGATCTTTAAGGTCCTTTACAACTCTAACCATTCTATGATTCTACGTCAGACCAGCTTCTGGCCAAGGCCAAGGCAATCAGTGACGATGGATCCACCTCTGTGAATAACATATTTAAGAAGGGTGCAGCACATGGAGCTGACAGGTGGCATGGCCCAAGTCCCCACCAGGGCTTGGCTGGGAAGCCCAGCCCCAGTCCTGGGAGCTCTTCCAGAACCAGCAAAAGAACCTGCAGTGGAGAGAGGAGTGGGATGCAAGAGAAACAACTACGCAGACACAAGGTCAGTGAAGAAAGGAGGGGGAGAAGGTACACCAGAGCAGATATTCCCCTGCAGGCCATGGTCAGAGGTGGAGCAGATATCCACCCACAGCCCATGGAGGACCCCACGCTGGAGGAGATGGCTGCACCCAAAGGAGGCCATGAGTCTGTGGGAGAGACCCATGCTGGAGCAGCACATGGAGAACTGTAGCCTGTGGGAAGGACTCATGTTGGCGAAGTTTGTGGAGGACTGTCTCCTGTGGGAGGGACCCCATTCTGGAGCAGGGGAAGAGTGTAAGGAGCCCTCCCCTGGAGGAGGAGGGATTGGCAGAAACAGCACATGATGAAATGACAGGAACCCCCACTCCTGTCCTCCTGTGCTGCTCCAGATGAAAAGTTAGAAAACCAGGAGCAAAGTTTTTGAGCCTGGGAAGAAGGAAGGGGTGGGGGAAAGGTGTCTTTTCAAGATGTGGTTCTATTTCTCATTAACCTACTCTGATTTGATTGTTAACAAATTAAATTGATGGGTGTTTTCTGCAATATGAGTCTGGTTTTTGCCCATGACTGTAAGCGGTGAGTGATACGTCCCTGTCCTTGTTTGAACTCACAAAGCTTTATCTTTTGTTCTGATTCTCCTCCCTATCCCACTGGGCCAGGGAGAGGAGTGAGTGAGCAGCTGTGTGGTGCTTATCTCTGGCTGGGCTTAAACCACAACACTTCTAGCTAAAGTGCTATAAAAGAACAACAGACTCAAGAGTTCTTGCCTATACAACGGCTAGATTCTAGACTACCAAAGCCATTGGATATCTATCTCTACAATCCAAATTTTTTCCAATATAGCTCTTGGTGGACAAGAAAGGGTCATAGTACTATGGATTCAATATATTGAACATCAAGTATTTAAGCTTACTGAAACTCCCATAAAGTACATACTGTATTTATTTCTAATATTTCTGGACTCAGACACTTTTTTCTTCCTTATGAATTGAGGTTAGTGTTCACTATTGGTATCCAGAGTGTAAAACTTAGGAATTGCCACTCCCATTTCAAGGTAGGCTTTAAGGCTCTATATGCATTTACATGACTGAAATAGTGTTTGCAGCTTGTATTATGTGAAATTTAGAATATGTCCTAGGACAGAATGCTTTTCTTCGTAGCCGTAAGATCAGCTTATGATTTAAAACACGAATATATATGAACAAAACAGAGCAAATCATACTGTCATGCTTGTGGCTGAGGATATATCAAAAGAACTAAATAAAAGCTGGCAATTAATTTGATGAATATTCTCCCTCTATGAGAATTACCATGCAGCATGGTATTTATAAATAGAAAAGTATATGATCTCATACTGTGACTAGTTATGTCAGCTTCAAAACAAATGAAAAAACACAGTATTAAATAAGCCCATTTAGAATTACAAAAATGTAATGGATAGAAAAGGGCCCAAAGTACTTTAAGTACACTTTAAAAAATCAGCTAATTCTAACATACACACAAAGAAATTCTGGCTAATCTAAGGGAATGAAAAATTGCAACTGTGATGCGGCCTCTTGAGCTGATAAAATAGCTTAGGCTGCACATGTTCTTCTATTTCTAAATTAGGATAAGTACATTTTTGGGCAGAGAAAGACATAACTGCTTGCCTATACTGGCTGTCACAAGATAGTTATTTTCAGATTTTTGTCTTGTGCTTTCCTGTTTTGGGAGCAATTGCATGTGTACAGCTATGGTCTAAAAAAATATATGCCAGAACAGAGGCAACAGAGAGTTCCTTTTCTATCTAAACATGATGGACACTGTGACCCAATTATGTATTTAAATTTATCTTGGCTGAGGAGTTATGTTGCCACACCAAATATAAAAGTATTGCTTATAAATAAGAACAAACCTAAGAAGGCTGTTACGTTATCTGTGCTCTTTGCAGTGTTTACCTCCAGGACGAAGTTGGCATGTGTATTATAACCAAGAAGCTCTGCTACTTTTGTCCTTAGTGGAAGCAACTGCTGAAGAATTTTTGTGTTCTCCTAAAAAAGAAAGGAGACAAATTTGTGAAGTGAAACCAGAAAACATGTTAGCGAAACATTTATCTGAATAATATCTGTAATCATAAGAAACAGATGACATTTAAAATTTAACACTTTAGCATATAATGTAAGTTTAGCTAGATTCTTAGCTAGGTAATTTTTTTTGTCACAGCATTTGACTGCAGGTAGCTAGTTTTCTTGTCAATCTGCGTCATTACTCTCCCTGTTACATTTTATCTGTTTTAATTAATCAAAAGATACACCATTTCCTTTTAGGATAAGAAATCTTTGACTATTGTTAAGATTTTATTTCCTTTATCAATCAGTTAAATGTGAAAGACAAGAGGTAAACAGCTGATAGCAGGCTTAATTGCTTGTTAGTGCTGAAGACAGACTGGAAAGTTACTGTGCCAACACTCAAAGCTTGTTTACAAACTTCCCTCTTTTGCCACTCTGACAACAGCAGTCAGAGAAAGAGATCTGAAACACAAAAATCCCAGGCCCTGACCTAAACATGGTGAAGATTCCTTGATAAGCTGAAAATGTAACTGTATTAACCTCCAGTTCTGGAAAAGTGAGATTTCTTGGGAAAAACCTGTTTTTTTCCAAGCACTGGGTTTGAAGAGTGTCCCACAGTTTTAACAGAATATCCCTTTAAGTGTGCTGACATGCAGAACATTCAGTTCTTGGTGCCATTTTATCTTATCTTGTACTCTTCACTTTGCCAGTACTTCAAGTACAAAAGCTCAACTTGCCATTGTTCTTTAATGAATGGTTGGTACAATTGCCTGCATCACACTTCTTCTATCCTTTCTATCCGTTTCATTATTTTTATACCTGTCTAGGTGCCTGGTCTCATCAGTATCAAACAAATTATTTGTGAAATTATTTCTCCTTTTTTATAAGGCATGTTTCCAGCTATTTTTCAGATAATTAAACAAAACTATTATAAAAATCAGATGCTTTTTAACATCTAATTAAAATTCTCATCAATATGCTAAGCATTAATTTCACATTTAATCACCTGAATTTCATCATTAAAATGTGTGCTTAAATAACCTCTCTGATTCTGAAGAATCCCAAAGTACTACAGAAGCTACAGTGAGATGTCCTTCTCTGGGAGGGAAGTGCCAGTAAGCAGCTGCAGAACACTGTAGGGAA